TGCAGCGGAATCGAAGACAACACAGACTACTACGGGTACGATCTTGCGTCAACGTCCCAAGCCTCGGCCGACAAGTGCTGCGGGGACTGCGAGGCTACTGCTGGCTGCAAGCTCTTTGTCTGGACCGACTACAACGGCGGGACTTGTTGGCTGAAGCACCAGGTCGGGCCCAAGTCTTTCCTAGCCGGCGCGAAAGCCGCCGTCCGCAACACCGCTTGCAGTCCGCTGGTCCAAGATGTCGACTACTTTGGAAACGACATCACGACGTCTTCGCAATCGAATGCGTCTGGATGCTGTGCCGACTGCAAGGCGACGGCTGGCTGCAAGGCGTACTCGTGGAGCGACTACAACGGCGGCACGTGCTGGCTCAAGTCAGCCAAGGGCGTGGCCATCCCTCGACCAGGGATTGTGTCGGGCACGATCTAAACGGCGTCGAGCTGGACCAAGTCATGTCTGGTACTCTAATCGTAATCGAACTGCGCGTCCCTTTCATTGTGGACTTGGACAAGTGGCACGACAACCCGGCGCCGAATCGGTCGCCTCCCGACGAGTCCGATTGTTCAGCTGTGCAGCGTAGCATGTCATTACGGTGTGTGGAGCTGCATAGCCTCCATCCACCTGCCTTGCTGTGAATAGCGTGCTTCGCATGCAGACGGGTCGCGACTGTCGTCCTGGAGCTTTGTACCCCATGCGACCGATTCCGAGGCGGCTGCGTCGGCGCCGCGGGTGAAACCTGTGAAACTGTATACCTTTGTGCCAATTCCTCTGAGAATGCATGTGAAACCGCTCGGCAGTGGAAGATCGCACGCGTTGTCCGCGCATGACGTCGGCAAAGCGGAAGCGCGGCGAGATGCTCGATCGTTTTGGCGTCGATGTGGCCAAGTCAATGTTGTCGCAGCAGCACCACCGTGTACGTGGTGAAGCGTCGGAGGAACCGACCGTTGGACGTGCCGTTCGAGGCGGTGACGGCATGATGTCGGACGGCGGGTCGTTCCGCGTGTACCCCGACGCCGTGGGTTTCCTCGAGTTTGGGATGGTCGTGTCGTTGATAGCAAACGACCGCAGCGGCGTGATTGCGTCCGAGGGCTTCACCGCATGCGAAGTGCATCTCGAACGAACGCTGTCCACGGCAATCGTGGACGACGCGACCCAAGAGAGCCACCTCGTCGAGTGTCACTTCAAGGACTGTCTGTTTGAGGTGCGTTCCACGCATCCAGCTTCCCTAGCGTGACCCAATCACTAGATCGTCCCCAAGATGAGCTACGACGCCACACTCGCGTACGAAAAGGCCACGGCGCAACTCCACAAGAACGATCCAGCGCCCGTCCACGGGTTTTCCAACCCGCTCTCGGAAATGCGATTCAAGAGCGAGTCGGAGAAGCGCCTCAACGCGGCTGCTTACACCAAAAGCCACGGAAAACACGTCGACTACGGCCAAGTACTCGCCGTGTGTGTGCCACCCTCGTTGACGTGCGTGGCGTAGGGCATTCAACTGCGACACGTAAAGTCGGGCAAATTCCTCGCGACCAAGCCATCTTCGTTCGACACGTGTGATTTCGTCGACGTACGTGCGATGCTCTGCCGTGATGCGTGTGGAGACTGTGTGGCGCTGGGACCTCGTGACGAGGCGTTCGCTAGATTGGGCTCGCGCCGGGGCTCCCGGCGGCGCATTTCGTGCTCCTACCTCGTTTCAAACTCCGCCGCAAAGGCGAACCGGTGCAAATCCAAGATCAAATTGTGCTGGCGACGGACGACATGCGCCTGTTTGTCCAGCCGTCGAGTCGATTCAACAGCGCGCGGGCGCCGCTCGTGACGGCGTCGGTCGCGCATTCGATGCCGTGGCGCGTGCTCGTGTACGACTCGAGCGATCGTGTCCGGTCGTCGGCGGAAAAATACCACCAGGACGACGCCCAGGGCTTCAAAGCGGGACAGTGCCTCCGCCTGCACCACTTGGAGACAGGGTCGTGGCTAGCGTACGACGCAACGTCCGCCACCCTTCGCTTGGATCGCGACTGCGATGCCAGCGACCACGCGACCGTTGTGGTGGGTGCCGGTCGATCACGGTCCGTGGCTAACGCGTCGTTGGTAGCTGTCGCCCGATACGTTGTGGGAAGTTGAGCGCAGCCGCGTGCACGAAGGCGGCGCGATCCACTGGACCAAGCACGTCTGCCTCCGGCACGTCACGTCCGGCAAGTACCTGGCGCTCGCCAACACCGATGCCGACCAGCCCGCGATGGCCAAGGCACAGCGCGCCCCCGACACGTTTGCGTTTCGCCCTTTGACGCACGTCAACCTGCGGTACGCAAGTCTCTCCAGTGTGGATGCCGTGAAGGAGGGTGGCGTGCGTCGACAGCGCCACTTGGCGCTAGCGACTGGGTGGTTGCGTGGTGGAATGGCAATGGGTGGCGGAGCTGGTTTTGGTCGTGTGAATGTGTGGCGGCGGCGGGAGTGCTCTCTGTCACGAACTTGTTGGGAGCAGCTTCCTGACGTGTGTTGCTAGATCGGCCGTCGCGCGCGACAGCGTTGTGCAGGTCCAGCATGTCGCATCCAGCGCGTTTCTGCATGCCGCGAGCCCGCCGGTGCCGTTGACGGAGGACGCGTCGGTGTCATGCCCCGTCGAAGGCGTCAAGGTGCCGAATGATGAAGATGCGTTCAAGTTGGAGTCGGTGCCGCAGACCGAGGTGCACGACGTCATGCTGCTGGCGTCGTACCGGCGGATGCTCGAGCAATTCGTCGTGTTTTTCGACGCCAAGGCGCCATGGCCCGTGACGATGTCGACGGAAGCATTCTTCGCCGACGTGTTGGCCGCGTTGGAGGCGCTGAAAGCGTTTGGGTTTTACGACACGGCCGCCGACGCGCGGCGCCACGTGCTCCTGCGCAAGCACCACTACATGGAGCTCGTGACGCGGATGCTGGAAGCTCCGTTTGAGCCATGGGGCGGGCCGTTCTCGATGGCATACGTGAGTCTCTTCCGCGCCGACGCGCGCCCGACGTACGACCCGATGCAGAGCAACATTTCGATGACGTTGGATGGGCTGGACGACGGCAGCACGGACGAGAGCGCGGTGGCGCAGCCTCCGTCGTCGGGGCCGTTTGCCGCGCTGAGCGAGGCGTCGCTGAAAACCATCCACCAGATCGTTCGCGCCGCCAACGTGCTCTTGTTTCGCATGTTTTCGACGTGCGAGCCGCGCGACGCGTCGACGTGCGGGCGGTCGCTGTCGGTGCTCATGAAAATGCTCGGCCACGGGTTCAAAGCGTCGTTTCCGCTGTCGTACTTGATCCAGCAAAAGTTTCACCTGTCGCGCGAGTTTCAGTCGTTTTCCAAGATCATCCGCGACTTTCTCGACTTGATCAAGGCCCACGGCAAGTCGTATCGGTACGTGCAGTTTCTGGTCGTGCTGTGCACGGCCAACGGCCTCGCCGTCCCCAAGATCCAAGACAAGATTTGCGACTTGATCTTTGTGCCGTCGGAGGGGTACCGCGACGCGATTTTGCTCGAAACGCGGCCGTCGCATGCGCTCGACGTGGGCATTCCGACCCGTCGCGGCATCGAGTGGAAGCCGGTCAAGGTGTTTTACGACGAATACTACAAGGCCAACCTCCACACGACGCTCGCGCCCTACTTTTACGGCCTCGTCCAGCTCTACGTGGCGCTGTGCGCGGACCGCAACTACAAGTGCATCGAGATCCTCAAGGACAAGTTTCCGCGCCAGTGCCTCCTCGCGTGCGTGCAAGACAGGTCGCTGGCGCGGTCGATTCGCGCCGTCCTCTTGAACCTCCTTGTCGTTGTCCATGTCGACTGCGACCCGCAAAAGCCCGTCGCGAGCCCCAACTACACGCGCATCTGGCACGACGACGCGATTCAGCTTCCCCAAGTCGACACGACCAAGTATTCGGCCGACGATCGCGCATTTTTCCGCCGCCTCAAGGCGGTGGTCATCGACTACCTGGCGCGACGCAAGGGCGTCATCGTGGTTGGCGTTGGCGAACTCGCGCGCAATGAGCTCACGCTTGCCATGATGCGGACGTGCCACAAGCTCGTGGACTTTGGCATGGTGCACGACGATTTGCAGTCGATCGTTGGCCACTTGGTCGATCTCTTGGACTGCCGCACCGACACGATTGCGCACGACGACGGCGTCGCGGCCAGCGCTGGCGAGGTCACGGTCCCGTTGTTTGAAAATTGCGTCCACCGCCACAAGAATCCGTTCTCGAGACAGTACAGCGAAGACGGCAAGCTCCACCTGGTCAAACCCGTCCGGCGGCTGTCGATGGGCACCGCGTCGTTTGCCAAGGCGCGCATCGTCCACGACCCGACTACCGTGTCGCGGTTCCAAGCGAGCCAAGGCAACGCGATCGTGATGGAAATCAAGGACTGTATCTGCGCGACCCTGCTGCGCATCGACGCGCTCCGGCTCGACTACCAGCTCTCGCTCGTGCTTGCGTACGTGAAAACGCGCAACCGCACGCCACACGCGCCCAACGACCACGTGTCGCCGCTGGCGCAAGCGCTGGCGCAGCGCACATGCCACCTCACGTGCGAGTATTCGCTGCCCGTGCTGGCAAACCGCCGGCTCGACACAATATTTCTCCAAACGCTCATGTACGAGCACCCGCCGCTTGTGTCGAAAGCGCTCGAGCTGCTGTACCTCGAATTCAACCAGCACGAGCAACTCATCAAAGCGCTCGACCAGGTCTTTTTGCTCGTCGACGCCACGACGGTGCACTTGTACGCGACTCTCCAGGACGACGTCGACCGCCTCCGCCACTTGGCCGAGACGACCGAAGTCTGGATGGACCTGACGTCGTCGGGCGACTTTGCCGCGTCGCATCGAGCGTGCACGCTGCTCGAGTCGCTGCAGGCGCTCATGCAGAGCGCGGAAGGCGCGGCCATGACACGGTTGATGTCGAATTTGGACGTGCTGCAGGTCGTCGTCGCGATGGTGTATTCCGGGAGCCACTACTTTCACGACCTGTTTCCGTCGCAAACGGCCGTGGCGCCGGCGAGCCCGCAAAAACCATCGACGCTTGTCCACGACGTCCTCCAGGACCAGCAGCGCGCCGCCATCCGCCGCGTGTACGACGGCTGCATGGCGTTTCTGTGCGCGTATTGCGCCGTCAACGTGCAGTCGGTGGCCGAGTACGCCGTCATGTTGCTCGATTTTGTCGAAGCGCTGCCGTCGGCGCAGGACGTGCTGCTCGCGATCTACACCCACGACGTGTGCGACGCGATTCCCCCCGACGTACTCGTCCAGTTCATTCGGTGGAGCATCTTTTTTAAACCGGCGGCGGAGACGCGATTTCTCGCGTTCCTCAGCGGCGTCGCCATCTCGGCGCACACGCAGCGGTCGCTCGTCAATCAAATCGCCAAGAACCCCGAGGTGGTCGACACCCAGGACGTGATGGGGCAAGGCGTCGCCGGGCGGAGCTACGTGGCGGCGATCCTTCACCTATTGACCACGATCGCAACCACGAGCGAGGCGCGGGACATGTGCGCCGAGTCGTTTGTGACGGTGGCGCGGTGGGTCGACCTGTTTGAACAGTGCGAGGCGGACGCGGACGCGTTTGGGTTTGTCGCGATCAAGTATCTCGACGACGTGCTGCTTCAGCACGACGACTGCGTGTACAAGATGGACGATGCGCTTCACGTGCGGTTGTTTGGCGCTGTGCGGCGCTTTTCGCTGTGTTGTACGACCAAAACGAGTGGTTGCGTTGTTTACGGTGGCTGTAGGCATTCGTCGGCATGTGCATGCGCTGGCGCAACTGGATATGCGAGACGACAAGGCCGCGATGGGGCTCTCGAACGACGTCCCGATGATCAAGCACGTGCTTCCCATGCTCGTGACGTACTTTCCAAAACTCAACCCGGCGTTGCTCGGCCACGAAGACGTCGACGAATGGCTTGCGGCGTGGTTCGTGTGGGTGTTTTGCGCCGTGAGCCGCGCGACGCTGACCGATGCGGGTGTCGAAAGCGCACTGCATCTGTGCATGCGATGGCTCGATCAGTTGTGGAAACCCACCAGCGACAGCTCGAGTCTGGAACAGCTCTTTGATGAAGGCTGCCGACGCAGCGCGCGGCCGTTCATCGGGTTGAGCGGCATCGCCGAGCCGTTCGTGATGGACTTTGACAAGCCATTTGTCGAGCTCGTCAACGACGTGCACGCGTACCGCGTGTACTGCGCATCGAACAACCCAACGTCCGCGGCGTCGTCGCCGGCCCCACCCGACGCGGTCGTGATGCCGATTGTGCCGCTCGAAGACAAGCTTCCCCCGCTCCACGTCGACATCGTGCGAAAGCAATCGTGGCTTCCAAGCTGGGGCCGCGCCAAGAAGAAGCGCCACACGTCGGCCGTGGTTCCGTCCAACGGCAAAAGCAGCAAGTCGTCGCCACGAGCGTTCAACATGCCCTCGTTTGGCGCGTACAGCGGCGACGACTGCTCGATCGTGGCGGATTTTGTCCAGTACGTTCGCGACCACCGCCAGACCAAGAGCGCGATTCGAAACGAGCTGAGTGCGATGATGCAGAGCATCGTGTGCCTCGAGGTACGTCGGTGTGTGGTGGCGTCCGCGCTCATGTTGCGGCAGGACGCGCTCAAGGAAGAGCACGCGTCGCACGCAGGGGTCCCCGCCGTCATTTCAACGTTTGACGAGGTCGCTGCCAAGCTCGTGTCGCATTTTCAGGCAAGGCGGCGCGCGCGCGGTCGGTCGTCCGTTTGACTCAATTCGAATCTAGATGCTCAAGCACGCCCGCTTCGTCAAGATGAGCGTCGTCCTGCTTGACGTGTTTACGCGCACGATCTTGTCGATCGAGCACGACCGAAAGCGGCGCCAGATGCAGCTCCAACTCGACCACGTCGGGCTCACGGCCGTGCTGGTCGACTTGATTTCGCACACGGACGACGTCCAAGTGTTTGACCGGTGCGTGTGGCTCGGGATCGCCATGCTCGACGGGATGAATGCCCGCGTTCAAGAACGATTTCACGCGCTGCTGACGCAGCACGCCGCGTGTCTCGGGAAATTCAAGCTCCACTTGGATATGCTGCTGACCCGCACGGACGGGACGCGCAAGCCGCGACCGGTGATGTGTTTTTCGCCCAAGACGACGACGACGCGCACGGACGAGCCGGCGACCAAGTACCAAAGCGCGGCGCGGCAGTTCCGATTCCTTCAGCTCCTATGCGAAGGCCACTACGGGGCCAACCAGCAGTGCATGCTCGGCGACTACCCCGGCGGCGTCAACCTGGTCGACGTAGCGACCGCCGTCGTTGTCGAGTTTCACACGAACGGGTCGTGGGACGCGATGGCGTTGCTGCGCCAGGTTTTTGACACCATCACCGAGTTTTGCCAGGTCGTCGATGTCTCGGGCCGCAGTCCACGGCTGACGACGCATGTAGGGACCGTGTCCGGAAGCGCAGCTGTGCGTCGCCAACTACAAGTTGATCTCGGCCGTGAACGCGCTCCTGTGGCGCGATACCAACGACTTGACGGTGACCGCCGTGGATCTGGTCCGCCAGCTCAAAGCGTCGGTCGTGGTCACGTTGTTGAGCTTGGTCGAGCGCCGGGTGGACCACGAGATTCACCGCCGGCTGGTCCAGGAGCTCAATTTGGAAGCGATCAAAGCCAACTTGATTGTCGTACACGATTACTTTGCCGCGACGTACCACGTACGCCCGGTCGACGACGTGCGAGCTCGCGATCGTGACTGTTGTGGTAGGGCCAGTACGACGGCAACGTCGCATGCAGCCGCGACGCGTTTCTCACGATGGGATTCAACTTGTACATTTTGATGCAGCACCTCGTCGAGTTTGAGCCGTCGCTGCTCTCGACGCTGGTCCCTGCCGACGACGTGGCGTACCGCACCGCGTATGCGTTTTTCGACGACCGGTGTGCGCGCGTCGAGATTGTGTGGCCAACAACTCGCGATCCCGCGGCACGTCCGATCGCTGGCGACCTCGTCTCGATTTATTTTCCGCTGCACCCGATTTGCGTGTGCTTGACGGACCGCGCCAAGCGCCGCCTGCTCGACGACGTGTCCCGCGACGCAAACCGACTCGACGACTTTTACGACAAAACACACGTTGCGATGCTCGAAATGCACCACCAGTGCACGCTGCGCGGCCATGCCTGGATGGCGCTCTTGACGCAGCACCTGTCGCAGTTGAAACTGGCCGCGTTTGTGTGGAGCGTGTTTCTGAACGGGTTGATCGTTGTGTACAACGAGCTCGACAGCCGCACGCCGTTTGCGGTCCAAGTGGTTGGGTACGTGCACGTCGCGCTGTGCGCGGCCATCGTGGCGGGCCACTGCATCAACGACGTGCCGTTGCTGCTCGTCGCCCACCGACACAACGACCATCGCACGTTGCGGTTCGACTCGTCCGTCGAGGACACGCTCGACGATGTCGAAGCCAAGGTGCGCGCGGTCAGCGACGACCGTTTGTTGCCTCGCCGTCGCGGCTGGTTTGTGCTGTCGGTGGTGCTTTGGGATGCTAAAACGATGTACCATGTGTCGCTGCTCGCGCTCGCGGTCGGCGGCGCCGTGTTGGACATGCCGCTTCTGTTTGCATTTCACGTGCTCGACATTGTGAATCAGTCGACCGAGCTCCGGTACATCTCGAAAGCGATCGTGCATCCCGGCAAGAGCCTCGCGCACATTTTGATCTTGTACATGCTGTCCGCGTACGTGTTTGGATTTGTCGGCGCGACGTACTTTTCCGCGTACTTTGAAAAGGACGGGCACAACGGGTGCACGACGCTATGGGCGTGCTTCTTGACGTCGGTGGACGAGGGGTTCAAAAACAACGGCGGGATCGGCGGGTACCTGGTGCCGAGCCGCCGCGATGCCGGCGACCGGCTCGCGTACCCCCGGTTCGTGTACGACATGCTGTACTACGTCGGGCTCGTGGTGATTCTAACCAACGTCGCGTTTGGCTTGATCATTGACACGTTTGCGACGCTGCGCACGCAGCACAAGGAGAAGCAGGACGATCTCAAGGACCGGTGCTTCATCTGCTCGATCGATTGCTACACGTTCAACAGGATGACCAAAGGATTTGAGCATCACACGCGGTACGAGCACAACATGTGGCACTACATTTACCTGTTTGTGCACGTTCGCCACAAGAAATTCACAGAGTACAACGGCGTCGAGCTGTACTTGGCGACGCGGATGGCCAAGCGAGACGTGACGTTTTTGCCGAGCCACCGCGCGCTGGCGCTGGAAAAGCACCACGGGACATCGATCGAGTCGGGTCGAGTCCCGAGCATGGCGTCGTGTGCGGCGGCGGCGATCGTGGGCCGTCCTCCCCACGTCGGTTGTTTCGACGGACAGAGCGCGATTTGTGGCACGACCGGCGAAGAAGGCGCCACCGGAGTCGGTGCTTCTTCGATCGCGCTGCAAGACCAGTTGACGGAGATGGTCCACGGGCTGCATGCCCAGCAGCAAGAAATCCTCGCCCTCCTGCACAAGATCGTGGCGACCCGTGCAACGGCATCGCCGTCTACCACACCACGACACGACCGCCGCAAGTCCCTTGGACCGGCCAAGTCGCCGATGCCCCAACAGCACACGCGAGACCAGAGTACGTGATGCAAAAATACAACTTGTGTGTGTGTGTGTCGATCGATATGCTCGCCCCGTGCACCATGCGATCAGCGCGACGTGCGGGCCATGTGGCTCTGTCGGTGTTGGAAGACGACGACGAGGAGGGTTGGCAGCAACTCGAGGTCTCGACGCGTCCTGGCAATGTTACAAGAAGAGTCACGGCAACGGCTGGAGCGTCATCTTGTTGTCGTTGAGAACCGCATGGACGCCCATCTTGGCCAAGTCGACGCGGGGCACGACCTCTTGCGGCGACAGCGCTCGAATGTACGCTTGGTTGGGCTCGTTCCCTGCGCATACTCCATCACACGATGCGACGTGGCAGACGGTCATACCTTCGCACACGTGGCGTAACGCGACCAGAGCCCATTCACGAAGCATCGGGTT